AGTACGGCCACTGGGTCCCTCCGGCTGCCACCAGCCCGGCCCCACCAAGGAGCAGGGCGGCAGCGCAGACCTGGAGCAATGGGGGCTCCAGGCGGCAGCAGCGCCAGAGATCTGCCCTTCTCCCACCCTTCCCTCTCCAGGCAGCCGTTGCTGGAGGGATGTGGGTGCAGGGGTCCCCAGGCAGGTACAGCCGAGGCCGCAGTGTCACCTCCCTGTAGCCCAGAATGCCGCAGCCCGGCCCCGCGGGGGCATGCAGGCCTGGAGAGAGATGTGTGGGGGCTGCTGGGAACGTCTTACTGGTTTGCTAAGCCGAGTAAAGGGTTTAGGAAAGCTTTCTTGGCTGTGGAAAGGGCTCGGTGACCTGCAACACAGTTTGCACAAGGGCCTTACCGGCTGCTCCCTCGTTCTGCTGCAACTCCTCGTCCTCCTGAGCTCCGTCGCAGCCCAGGAGTGTCTTGGTTTCGCCCGGGCTCAGCCTCCAGGCATGCAGGAGCAGCAACTTGCATGCAGGCAAGAGCACAACCTCAGGGACCTAACCTTGTCATCACTAATCAGCCCTTAATTAGAAGTATGAATGACGCATGAGTTACCACCCGCATGCCTGGCTGGGGGTGCTGGCAATATCACAGGCTGGTGGCACCTTTTCCAGCAGAACCGAGAGCCGAGCTCGCCCTGACCATGCCGGGAGCTGGTCCCCACCAGACGTGACGGCCAGCCTTGGGTCAGGAAGGGAGTGCTGGCTACCAGGGCTGAGCCTGAGGTTGCCCTTGGGGAGCGAGGAGGCTGCAGGGAGGGGATGCTGCGCTGGTGCTGGGGGGTCCCGGTGCAGGGAGAGAGGATGGAGCCGTTTCCAGACGGCGCTTGGGTTTACCCGTGGGGGTAGGACATGGGAGAGGACATGGGGGAGGACAGGGGGAGATGAGGAGCAAAGCCCCCGCAGCCTGGGGGGGACAAGCGCAGTGAAGAGGCAGGATGGGGCAGAGGGGGGGGGGTGCTGTGAGCTCCC